ATTTCTGAATCAAAATTATTTGGATCTTAGAAAAAAAGTTAAACCTCGGGGTTATTAAAATCGGGCAAGAGAGAGTAACGGTGTCTCTGAGTCCTTATGTAACCGGCGAGGGAAATCGATCAGGCCGAGATATATCGTTTCAGTCGTTCTAATTTTTTGGTTGACGATCTGATTGTTGCTCGTCCACACTTTATTTCTTTTTTTCAATTTTGATTTTTTTACAAATTTTCTTTCGAACAGGAAAAAAATGCGAATGATGAATATCAAATTTATTATTTCTTCACTTTGATCCGACTGGATAATTCGTTATCCTTGCGGAAATTATTATGATTACTGACGCATTTTACCTTTTCTAGAAAAACTTGAGATTTGGTTGTTTTGTAATTTGGTTTAATTTACTGATTGCGCTTGCTCTAGTTGTTCCCTTAATTTGGTAATTAGTTGACCAAATCATAAACTGTGAGAATAAATTTGCTAGGTATTTACCAGATAGAAACTTGGAAGATATTAGTGGATAATCCTATAATGGCTACTCTCATCTATAAATACCATTGTACGAAGTACCAGGAATTGACAATCTCAGAACTGAACAGATTGGCATGATAAGTTATATGATTAATCATAGATTGCATCCAATATTTATGATGATATTCTAAAATGGATACACTAGACTGATCAATAATTCCTAATGCACCAACTGATGAAACATTTGACGTTCTCAGAATTTTAGATCGATTTTATGTCTAAGCTCCTTATAGTTTTAAGATTAAGATAGAACATCAGCAAAAGAGAATTGTTCTGTGAAAGATATTCAAAATTTTATTTAGTCTAATAAAAATATGAAATAAAACAATAGTGTTGATTGGCTTGGGCGTGTGCTGAAATATGGAAGGCCCATTCAATATCAGAGAGAATCATATTTCACAAAAAGGGCCCATCTAATTTTCTTATAAACGGTTACATTTGACATAATTTCCTTGGTACAAGTTTATATGAATTGGTTATACAAAAATGCGAATTTTCATCATATTACAATATATCAGTTCATTCTTGTGCTAGAAAAAGAAAGCAAATTGGTTTGCAATCTTTTGTAAATTGGTTTTTGCTTGATGAAAATGGAAAAAAAGGAACCAGTAGAAGAAAATCTTATATACTGTACTCTAGGTCCTATACTAATGATTCACTGAAGAACACAGAACGATTCAAAAAGGTTGACGTTTGAAGTACAAGCTAATTGAAATGTAACCTCTCAAAACACGGCCTCAACGAGATGACTGATGACATCTTTCCTCTTTCTTTTTTTTCTTTTTTGGTCGAAAACGACATGTTTCCTCTGACATTACATTTTTTATATAAAAAGTATGAAAAGAACATCAATATGACTGATGACATCTTTTCCTCTGACATAATATATTTTAATAAAAAGGTGAAAAACATCAATAATTCTTGAATAATGTATATCATGTTCATGTTAATACTTCGAGAGATTATAAAGAGTCTCTTTATAAGTTTGTTACTATCACAAGAATTTGTGACAGTTATATGTATGCATTTGGTTACTGTTAGACACTAGTTTGGATAGACTAGACTCCGTCTAAATCCTTACAAACAAAAAAGTTGGACTATATATGAAACGTAGTTAGTTTTTATATCATTACATTAGATTCTAAATAATTATAACAAATAATATCAACAAGAAACCGTTATAACCCAAAAAAATTATTATTGAACAATTAACCAATTTTATGTCACAACCATAATCACTAGATCTAAGTTAATTGGTGAGTTGCTTAGTAATTTTTTTTTTTGCTATAGAACAAATCAACCTTAATATTTTTGGGCCCAAATAAAAATCTCATCGTTGTGCGAAGATAATGCGTGAGTAAAGTGCTACACCGAGTGAACCAAAAGAAAAAGAAAGAGTGTTACACCGAGACCAGAGCCATTCTGTCTCCTCTTTATCTATTTATTTGTGAAACCCGATGTTCGAATATCCGCATTTCTAGGGCTTAGTTCCCTCGTTTTGTCTGAAAGATATTTGATTTATTTATTTTATCGTGGTTACAAACCATTACCCAAGAGACAGAGAATGATGATCAGATCACTTTTGATTACTTTAGGTAGTTTAAGCTTTTTTTTTTTTGTCAAAGAGAAAGCTTTGTTGTTAAAAGGTAGTTTAAGGAGCATTCGACTTTTTTTCATGCATGTAATTTTAAATATGCACCTGTAATTACAAGTCTGTGAAAATGCTGTAGATGATATAACATCCTACCAATTCAACAAACATCGTCACTACACATTATAAAGTCTCGTCCATAATCTCTTTTGACCGAAAACTATAATATTTTCTATGAAATTTTATTTTTGTCTTTTTGACCATCGAATTAGTGACCTTAACATTCTATCTTCGAGTAATCAGCTAGTACACTCGTTAAACTACCGATGCATAATTTTATTTGGAAATTGCATTGGTAACGAGGATAAACAAATGGACATAGAAGTAGATAAAAGGCACAGGGTGGTCCAAATTTATTCTTCAAGTTGCAAGATATCCCAAACAAAATATTTAAAATTTAAAAAAGATATCCCAAACAAATAAAAAGGGCAGATAAAGAATTGCCAAATTAGAACCATGATTACCTAAACAAATTGATGTTTAACTGATATTTAATAACAACCAACTGGAAAATATATAGTTCTACTGATTAGAGGAAACTGAGTAAGCCATGTCGTACCCGAATAGTTAGTAGCATTAAATAATTTACGTTTGGGTGGTATGAAATGAAATTTTGAGCAAAAAACCTTACGTATAGTGGACGTTTTTCATGTAAATTATTACT